ACACACACACACACACACACACACACACACACACACAGTGTAATAGAATATTCTATGTTGGCACAGTCGCTGCCTCCATCATCTACTGTATGACCTCACCACTGCTCTGTATCACTGTACGATGATGTCACCTCCTCTGTCAGATATGATCTCAGTCATGTTTCCAAATTCTTCACGAAAATATTTTCGTCCAACAGATCAAGAGAAAGAAATCCTGCGTCCATCACGTTGACTTCCTCTATCGAGGTTTATTAACAGCTCTGCTCCGACGTGTTGATAACTAATCTGTTTATTAAATCTTATCTGGGTTTTACATGTTGAATGCAGAGTAACTGTAAAATTAATAATACAATTCAACATCCGGTGGAGTCCCCGAGGCTCGGTGCTCAGTCCTTTGTGATTCTTTGTTTGAAAATGAATACACACGAATAAACCATAGTTCTGAGTTTTAATACACGTGATCATTTGCTGTTCTGTTCCCTCCAGAAACCTTGAGACGTACGTTTTTTTTATCACAAAACATAAAACAACACCAAACAGGTGCCACAGGTTCTGGTTTGGGAACCTCATTTTAAATCATCGCAGCATTTCAACCAAAAATAAACTGCGTGGGAACCAAAGGTTTATCAGATGAAAACACAACAAACTGTGGAACCAGCGGAGTGACACCAGTTTACTTCAAACATCATCATCACTATGAAAACACATTGTCTTGTATATTCATGTACAAACTGTTCAATCTAAGAACCTTCACTAAAAAAAACACGCCTGTTTATCTGAAATGAGAAAAAATACAAATACATACAAATTAGCATCATCACTTCTCCGCAGCGTGATGAAAATATGTCCAAACTGCAGATAATGGGATTCATCATGTGGCGACAAATCTGGAGTGTCGGGAAAACTTTGTGTCACAAACTGTCAGGTCTGAATCTTTGTTTTCACTTTGTCTGTCAATCAAATGATGTCACGTGTTGTTTTCAGCATCAGTGAGCTGTGGATTTATCAGCTCCGACAGCAACAATACGACAACACGGACACACAATGAGGAGAAGAAATAACGTGAAGGAAGCGTGTGTGTGTGTGTGTGTGTGTGTGTGTGTGAGAGTGAGTCTGGGACGGCTGCCCATAAAGTCTCATTAATTTGGTGGCAGCAGGCCCACTGGACT